CACAGTTGCTAACACTAAGTTTTTCCCCAAGTGTACAGTAATCGAGAAAAAAAAAACATTCCTACCGCTTCGATATCCGTTTTACGACTCCAAATTCCTTCACGAGAGATTCCGTGACAAAAGCACCGCTTCAGTAGAAAACCGATGCTCTTCGTTCACGTACTCAAATCCGTAGTAGCAGAATCACAGGTCGCCGGTCGACTTATCTCGGAAGCGTTTCGCTCGCGAGAACGCTCATCGCCGAGAACTCACTGGTGCATCCCGGAGGTGGCACCTAGACGAGATCCGTAGATAGAATACGGTGAGAAATACGCCAGTCCGGCAGTCGCGTGTGGATGGGGTGGCGGGGGTGGCGGCGGTGGAAGCGGCAGTCCGAGCGTCGACAGAGACGGCGCCAAGAGCGGCGAGGGTTTCCCGTAGGGATGATAGCGCGCGGTGGCGAGTGGACTCAAAGGCGGCGTAGGGTAAGACCTCGCGAACAGAGGATGAGTCGCCGGGTGGAGCGCCGGGGGTGGCCCAGGCAGTAGGGAGAGCGCGGCAGCCGCGCTCGCCGGATCGGTCGCGCCGCTCGCCGATACGTTCGTATGACTTCTGAGATGTTGCAGCAGCTCTTCGGACGTGCCGAATCTCTTGCCGCAGTACGCGGTGTCACCCGCGATCCAGTTGCACACGTAGGGCAGCTGCGTGCCGGCCAATGCCGCGAGTTGCGCGTGCGCGTAAACCAAGGAGCCGTAGGGCGAAACGCTGCCGGGTTTGTGATCACACTGAGCGCACCCAGCCGGACAGGAGCCCGGCGTCGCGCTCGCACCCGACGGCAACTTGCCATTGGCGATGCTGGCGACCGCCGCCGCGGCCGTCGCGGGGCTCGACAGTAGGTGCGAGTTGAGCTGGCAGCCGGTGCAGAAGGGATCACGGCATATCGGCATCAGATTGTCCGCGGGTCCACTGGTGCTTTTCAATCGCGCGTAAAGATAGGGGTTGATGCCGTTCTTCAGGGCGGCGTGATGGGACATGAGCGAATTGGCCATCACGTCGATGGGCAGCTGACCGGGGCTGTAGCCCAAGTAGGCGGCGGTGGAGACTGGTAGACCGACGCCAGGCTTAAACGTGCCCAATGGGAGATCCTTGATTGATGGATCGGCCATAGCGAGCACGCTGACGGGACTGTAGGCGGGTTTCACTTGTAACGAGGGACTACTCACGGTTGGCTGACTCGTCGAAGCGTCCGCCGAAGGCGCCGAGCTTCTCGAAGCCGGCGAGTCTCGCGTGACCTCGCCGTTCGGCGTTGCTGTTTTCCTACCTTGCGGCGTGACCGCGCGCGTCGACGCGGCACTCTGATTGCTCGGGCATCGTTTGCCGCCGTTACCGGGTGTCCTCGATCGGCCGGACGTCGAGTGGCTCGACGTCGACCGCGACTCGTCCGGCGTGCACGTTTTCTCACGTCCCAGGCAGGATTCGTACGGCTTGAAACTAGTCTTCGTGGACTCGCTCGCCGACGTCGGCACCGTGGCTGACACTGTTATCGTCGGTGAGGATTTCTCGCGAGACTGTTCCGTTTTGGATGATCTGCTACTCGACGTCTTGTCCAAGGAACTTAGTAATGATTTGTTGGACGGTGGATCCGCTCCTATCTGACTGCAGGTCTGTGCGAGCAGTGCGAGTGGACTTTTCTTCGCATCCAGCTGAAATGAAAAGACGGGAAATGTTTATGAAATAAAAATTTTGCAATTCTGGGGAAGGGATAGTTATATTGAGAAATGACAAGTTGAGTACTTTCGAATACTTTCATCCTTCTTGATACAAATGTCATGTTGAAAAGTTATTTTTCTTACACTCAGGGAAAAAGATATAGTGGTAGCGACGACAACTATACAAGTTTATATCTAGAATTAACGTACATAGTTGAAACGTTCAAGGCAATTATAAAGTTTATTCTCAACTATGTCAACGTTTATTCTACGTATAAAACTTGTATGGTTATCATTTTTATATAGTTGACTACTATTATATATTTTTTGTTAGTGTAGAATATATAATTTTTTTAATGTACAACTATTGTACAATTCGCAATTTTTAAATATGATTTCAAAATATGATTTCACGTGCTGTACCTACTGTGTGTGTGTGTGTCGTTATAATATACTTTTATTACTTTTTAACAACTGAACTAATAATGATTTTCAAAATAACCGATCATTCAACATCATAATTTCGACACTCCATTTTATCATTTCGAAATTCAATAGAGCGTATCGACGTTGATTGATGTATAAAACTTTCTTACGTTTATAAACACGATAATGCAATCGTTAATATTAATTGACTCGGCAATAATTAATATTTGTTGGTTGCGAATCTGATAAATTTGACGAGTTCGACCTGTTTTCGAAATACGTAACGTTAGTGATTTAAGTGATTTTCGATCGACTGCTACACCGCAATGCACGATCTGACAACCCTCGAAACTTGGCGCGTGACGCGTCCGGATGGAGGCAAGTCCAATTAATGACGCGCAAACCGCAATCTGTAGCGCCGCGTCACTCTTTCGCCGAGCGAGAAGTGACGTGGATGAAGGGTGCGTCGGACGAACTTATCCCACGGAACGCCCGCCCTTTTGATTTATTGAGAAATTTTTTTACGCGAGCGACGTGTCCCCGAGATTTTTTCCTAACGACCTGTCAACGTTGAAATTGAATTACTTCCACTAACAATGATAAATCCCGTAGATATTAATTCTAAACTTGTGTACTTGTGAAATCGCGATTACGTCCATTTCTACCAATGTAGATTAATTTTAATCCTTTTGCCAATGCATAATTTTTCATCTTCTCACTACAATGTTTTACAGGTAAAAATGTAAAAATAAAAACCAGATAATATCTATGCAAAACTGTTTTTTATGATTCGAAAAATGGGATTCTTCGAAGCATCATAACGAGGAAAAAAAAATTAAACAAAATTTTGATTTAATCTATGTTTAAGGATTCAGAATGTTCAGGTATATAGGCTCTACAAAAAAATGACTGAAATTGAAAATGTAGACCTTCTGTAATAAAAATGAATGTTACATACATATGAAATAGTTTAATAAGGTTCATTTATATGTAATGTATATATAATTTTATAGATTAAATGAAAATTTTCTCATTTTATCTTAATTATTTTTTTTAAATATGTCTACTTCATATTGAAATAGTTTCTTTATCAAGGTTCTAAATTATCAAACTTTTTTGTATTTCAAGTATAAATGTAGAAAAATCTATAATTTTTCATTAACATTCTTAAAATCTTTTATCTCTATCTATGCATTGAATAAAAGGCTTGATCTCGATTATTCTTTTTATCTTTTTCTAATTTTTAGAATTCTAAGGGATAAAAAATAAATTACACCGAGATTACAATTACTTACTAATTATTACATTACTAATATTTTACTTTAATAACCTATTGAAGTTAATTATCACTAATAGAAATATTAATGATCTTTATATTTGCGGATAAGCAAGAAAAGATATTTTCGCGCGCGCGTGATTCCTACTATAAATCTGGAATATGACACGTCAATGGTGCGGAGGAGAACGTTGCGACGGTTATCCGCGCAGAATCCTTTTTCCTTAATCTTTTTGTTAAGAACGAGATTCATCGGAGGGGGAGAGGAGGAGGGGGGGGGGAGAGATAATCAATATGCTATGCCCGATACAGACGTCATTAGCGTGTAAGTGCGGGGAATTTAATATCGGCGCCTTCTCGCATCTTCCGAAGTGGTCACGATGATGCACTCGCTATAATTAACGTATAGAGAAGCGATATTTCTCGTCGACTGATACGTCCACCGAACAGATGTTCCGCCGTAATTAAAATGCAACGATCATGCAACACTAACCCGCCGTCGCCGCTCACGGTCGGGTCTGTACTAATGGCGCGACGCCGACAGATATTAATGCCGTGAATTGCAACAGGCCATTACGGCAACGCGAGGCTATATATTAATTGCGCTCGTGAAAGTTAACGGGAACGTTCGAACGTAATATTTTAATCCGCTAATTCCGCCCGCCGGCTTTTGATTGTCCTGGTTAATTTATGTCCCTCGAGACAAGAGAAACTTCTCTTTGTCCACACTTTACTGTGACTTCTGCTGAACTCTTTTGAATTATATACTTTCTTTTTCTATAGTAAATTTTTTGCAAGCAGCAAGCATCACTTTCACAAAGTACTGAAAAAATTGGAAAATGGGTGATTTTTTTTGTTTTTTTTTTTGTTTTTCCATGAAAATTAGACGTCGAAAAGAATAGCCAGTGATTTACTTTCGTTTTGAATTTGACTAGTGGCCTAGCTGGCTGCGGGAACAGTTTACGAAACGACTTTACAATTCTTTTGCTCTTTGCTAAACGGAGATTGCAAATTCAATTATTTATTCATTACATTATAAAGTCAATCATGCGCGCAAGAAAATTTTTACGTCTCATAACTATTAGAGATTTACACCGTCTGAATATATATATACTCGTATTTCTATCGTCGAACTAATTTTCTACGAGCAGTAAACACTTTGACCGTAAAATTTCGACAAAAATTAACACGAGAAGCCAGAAGATATTTTTTTTTTTTTTTCACGAAAATTAGATGTTAAATGTAACCACTGCTTTACTTTTGTTCTGAATTTAAATAGTCCAGTTACTGCGGAACAGATAAATTTATAATAAATGATCTTTTATATTCCTTGCGAAGTGGAGATTGCAAATTTATTTATTCATTATATACATTACAAATTCAGTTAAACACATTTTTACGGCTTTTTTCTAAATATTAGGAAGACTTGAATCGTCTGAATATAACTCGTATTTTTCTACAAGTATATTGTCAAATTGATTTTTTTTTTCTGAGTTTTAAGCACCGCTGTCGCAAAATACCGAACAAAATAATTACGGGAAAACCAGAAGGTATTTTTTTTTTATATACCAAAACGTATCGGAGATATAGCCGGAGCGCTTTGTCCTTTGTTCTGCATTTAAATGATTCAGCTACTGCGAGACGGTTCATAATAAATGATTTTACGGTCCTTTATATTCTTCGCGAAGCGGAGATTGCAAATTCATTTATTTATTCATTACATTAGAAATTCAATCATGCGCACAAAAATTTTTACGTCTCTTATAAATATTAGAGAGATCTGAGCCGCTGAATATAAGAGGATACACCGTCAACGTAGCCGTCTGTAACTCGAAAAGCCGAAAATCGAACGCTCTATTCCACTCCGCTTTTCTATCTTTCATCCCTCTCCTCCCCCCTCCCCTCCCCCTCCATCGCCCTCTGCGCAACAATCAGCATTGTATTACCGAATCGCGCTTTGATTTATGACGTGCGTAAATCAGCGCGACGGCACGCCGTGACTTTGCCAACGCACACTCGCTGTCCCCAAAAATAGTTTACAGGAGTTCGGAGCATAAAACGCGGCGCGCGTGTTTCCGTCGGGATTAACGAAACGACGACAGGCGACGTTAATGAGCCGCTAGGAAAGGTATTTTTAAGCAGGAAAACTCTCTCTGCGTAAACGCGACATTTTGAGCATTTGGCCTATTTGCGTTTGCATTAATAATATAAATGTTGCACGGATATATTACGTGAGAGATTATCAGAATAAAATTAACATTGTTTACCGATCATATTCCGTTTTTCGAATTATCGCGGTACTTATAGAATGTTTACGATGGGGTTGTTTCTGGCGCGATCCGTTTACCATGTTAATTTTCAACGTGATTTATTTGCAACATGTCGAATACGGTTCTTCTCACTTTAAACGCATATTTTTTTTTCTCGGAAGAGACGCAAAATAAGGAGAACGTATAATAAAGAAGCGATGTTTTTCTTGTATATCCAGGCGAGGTTTTTTTTAATTTTTTTTTTGTTAAAACTTGTGGTTTAAATTTAATCTGATAAATAATAGTAAAAAATAGTACTTTTCTAGTTACAGTTTTGCAATAATTTTTAAAGTCACGTTACAAAACCATTCGTGACTAATCATAATTAGAAAAATATAATTTTTACATTATCATATCAGGTTGAGTGTGGAGATTAAGTCTAAACCTCAAGTTAACCAGAAACCGGGTCTCAGAGAAATAGCGGTAACAGCTATAAAAGTGACAGTTATACAAGTACATGTAGAATTATAATCTTTATTATATGTAGAATTTTAATCTTTAGGGGGGACAGGAATTTATTTTTAAAATTTTCCAGCTTTCCGCTGTGAGTCAGATTTGTTATAATTCATTAGTTTTTATACACATTGTATTTCTTGCCTCAAAATATGAATCTGTTTCAGCGCCACTACAACGGCTTTCTCGTACTGTAAAAATTAATGTACATACTAAACTCTTTCATAGTTATCGCAACTATTATATAAGTTAATAATAGTTCATTTAACTATATGTACACTAATTTACTCGACTAAATTCACATAAAGTTCGCACAGCTGTCATCTTTATAGTTGCCGTCGTGCACGGAAAGAATATTTTGCTGAAATATCAAAAAAAAAAAAAATCTGACAATACAGATCAAAATAATTTTGTTGGCATATCGAAATAACTATGTAGGAAGTTGATTGCTAGAATGCGAAGACTTTTCGCGGCATTGCTCACCACGCTTGAATTTCCTATATAATTATTTCGATTTGATCCAATAAAATTATTTTCGGATCTGCATCTAATTAAATTTTCTTCAGGTACTTTGGCAAAATCGTGTTCTTTCCACGT